TAACGAATGTACAAATGTGCTTTATACAATTGATGTATGTATGGATTGTGATAAGAGTTATCTGAGCCGCCAATAAAATGATTTAAAATAATAATAATAAAAAGACAAAAAAAAAAACACCCCCCAAAACTGCAGTCCTCACAATGTAACATCACTTAACTCATTTCCTGTTTCCAGTCTGTTTTCCTAATCCTTCCTGCCTTCTGAACTTGGTCCCTGTGTAAATGCTACCTTTTTATTTTGAATGGTTGATTGTTCTAAGGAGTGGTATCTCCCTAGTAATTGTTTAACTTACAGATCTGTCTATTGCTTGGCTAAATATTAAGCCAAGGGGTTGAGACAAGTTAGGAAAAAGGCTATTCTTATATCCCCATATTCCAAGTTAAGACAAGTTTGAGGAATTCCTCCAGGCCTACACCCATGAGTGCAGTCACATCTTACATCTAGTTAATTTTAAACTTATAATAGCATATGTAATTTTCAACATTACCCACTCCCCGCTTCTGTCCCTTGCAAGAGTAACATGATTTTTCAGTTCTATCCCCTTGCCCTGCAACAATTCACCATTTGGCCAGCTCAGACTAGACACAGGGGCAAGAGTACACCAGACACCTGCAAACTTCAGTTGAACCAAAAGCAAAGAACCCCTAGAGGACTCAGACCGGAGGAACTGTTAGATTCCTCAGGTGGGGCATACTTCTGTTCTTGGCTTCTCATGAGAAAGAAATTCACACCGAAATCCGGTTTGTGGGATTTTTATGAAGGACAGAAATTTCAGGTTTTACAGTCACTGAACCCAGGTCGCAGTATGGCCGAGTGGAAGGCTGAGGAGCTGCTGGGGAAAAAGCGTGCTCTCCAGGTTCCAGCTTTCTAGGGCCTTCTGATGTGAGGCGTGGTCGATGGTACTGGTTGACCCCATAGGCTGAATTAAGGCCACCTGGCCTAGATTGGGCCAATCCAGGTGGACCACCCATCTAGGTATACCAACCCCTCCCTCCCCCCTCCCTTGGGGCCTGAATTGGCACATGCCCAGTAGACACCCCTGGTCCCTGTTCTGCTACCTAACAGAACTAAGCAGTGAATGCACACCATTCCATAAGTGAAGCCTTTGCCAC